AATGAGGCTACAGCTGCAGTCCCATAACGGTGACTAGTTTACATGCCATAAGGACCTATTCCAGATGCTAAAGCTGGCTCTGATTCTGCAAGAAGAACAAGATGAGAACCATTCGCTTTTGTACAAAACTGGCTGCACGCTCCCTCAGCTTCAGGCTGGAAATGGCCCCGAAGTCCGCACTGGAGAGCACAGCTGGGCCCGGCTCGCTTTGCAAGACTGGGGCATCGCCCTGAGGTCCAGCACCCCGGGCATCCCCAGCTGACCACCGCCTTGGAACCCACCAGGCAGCTCAGCGAGTGTCAGACGTGTTTCCCCATCACTGCCAGACTGTTCCCCACAGCACCCCTCAATCCTACAGCCTCCAGGATGCCAAGACCCCTGGGGACCAGGACAGGACTTCCCTGCTGCTTCCCACAGCCAGGCCAGGTCCGAGGGGCAGAGAACAGTGGCGTCCTGATCTGGTGAAGAGCCGTGAGACGGGGTGGGGGGGTGGGGGTCTGGACCGGGTCTGGTGGAGCTATGGCTCCTGGTTGTTGCGGAGGCTCAAGCTGTCCTCTCTCCCAGGACCTGGCATGGGCCTGAGCTCACTAGTAAAGACAGTTCTCACGCATCATCATGGGAGCCATTTAATCTCTCGGCCTCTCAGACATCTGTCTGCGTGGCGTGGGAGGAGGGACCCGCCTGCGTATTTCCCAGGATTGCCCCGAGGTGCTGACTCACAGTAACTGCACTCCCGCTGGATCGGTGCCTGTGCTGGGTAATGGATGGTTTTATGCCTTCACTTGTCAAACAGCAGACTGTTTTCTTCATCTCCTGGATTTTTATTCAATGAAACAGGAGTGAATCTCTAAATCTTCCAAATGTGAACAATAAAAGACTGAGTGGCTTTTCCTGGCAGTGTCTGTGCCATAGCTGAATTATTTAAACTTTTATTGAATCCTGGGGCAGGGAGGGAAACAAAACTATCCCAAGAATAACAAGATTACTTTTCATTAATTCACTTAGAAATTGTTTTTCTTCTTGTAAATGCTTTCTCCATCTAAAAAGATCACATTGGTTCCCTAACCAGTTTGGCTCAGTGGATAGAGCGTCGGCCTGTGGACTGAAGGGTCCCAGGTTCAATTCCGATCAAGGGCATGTACCTTGGTTGTGGGCACATCCTCAGTGGGGGGCATGCAGGAGGCAGCTGATCGATGTTTCTCTCTCATCAATGTTTCTAACTCTATCCCTCTCCCTTTCTCTCTGTAAAAAATCAATAAAATATATTTAAAAAAATAAAAAATAAATAAAAAGATCACATTGGTAATGTGGATGCCTCATTACTCTATGAGGTAGACATCACTTTGATATCAAGGTTAAATTTCTCTCTCCACGACGGATGCCCACAGGGTGGTAGAGATGGGTAACAGGTGTTTGTTTATTGTAATAGTGTAAATATTACATGATTTCAAAGATTCAATTCACTTTTATGAGGATATTCCAGATTGAATACATGCAAATAAATAAATGTAAAATACTTTTTAAAATATTTCTGGTTGTCTCACAAACTATTATTTTAGGGGCGCTCTGTTTTGCTGGGTAACATCCAAAACATCTCTATGTTCACATCTATATAAAAACATTGAAGGGAAACATAACTGAGGGTTCTTTTTCCAGAATCTTATGCTTTAATATCCATTACAGATATCCAAGAAAGGGATATATGATGGCATTTTTGCCAAACTTATTTTGCCATGATTTATGTGTTTGCCAGTGTACCTAACAGCAACCTCCAAAATGTTCTTCAGGTGACTAGCCCACTGGCCAGTGCTGACCGCGTGAGCTGGCTCCACTTCCGCAGGCCGTGCGGAGCTCCACCTGCTGGGCTGTGTAAGCCAGTGGACCGGCAGGCTCATTGAGCACCTGGTGGACAGACACCCCTGGGCAGGATGCTGAAGGGCACAGGAAGGGAGTGAAATGATGACTGTCCTGTAGACGTCCCAGGTCAAAGGGGCAGTCAGTAGTCAGTGCCACTGGAACAAGGTCTCAGTGAGGTGGGAGCAGAGGAGAGTTTGGGTATAGAGTTGGAGGTATCTTCCCAAGACTCAAGGCATAAAATCATAGAATGAGGCCACGACCACTTTCAGTGGTACGCTGCCAGGAACTGGACATGTAAGTACATTTCCTTGTATAGGCTGTCCTTTCTGAGGGTGGCACTTTGCAATGGCACCTGTCTCCCTCTGCCGCGAATCATTTACCTCAAATCCAAAGAGGTTCGTTCAGCTCATTGACTTTTTCCAGGTCTCTAACTTTCTAGTTATTTCTCTCATGGTATATTGACATTGCTTATTTAGTGTAAAACTAAAGAAGAAAAGAAAACTCATTAAATTTTTTAGAACATTGAATATATTTCAGTGAAGCTAGTGGCCCAACAGAATATTTTTCAATTGTTTGAATCTGAGGTTTAGTATTAGAAGGATAAATTTTTCTCTTTTCTGTATTTCTTATACTTACTTGAAATATTGAAACCTCAAAATAGATATGGGTTTGCCCTGGCCAGTGTTGCTCAGTTGGTTGAACATCATCCCATGCATGGAGAGGTCACCAGTTGGATTCCCAAGCAGGGTATATGCCTTGGTTTCTGGCTCCATCCCCAGCAGGGAGAATGCAGGAGGCAGCCAATAGATGGTTCTCTCTCATCGATGCTTGTCTCTTTCATTGATGTTTCTCTCTCCCTCTCCCTTCCTCTCTTTTTCTAAAATCAATAAAAACATATTTAAAAATATAGATATGGTTCCATTGTATAAGCCTCTCAGTTGGTCCTTACAGAGGCTCACAATGTCACAGGCCCCTCCCCCTCCCTAGGTGGAGGCCTGCTGTGTCCAGGGGTCTCCTGGGCTCAGGCAAAGCCTTAGCTCCCTCTGCTTTGTCCCTGTGTCTGGGAAGGGATCGGGGGAGTTCCTCCACACAGGTGAACCCAAACAGAAACTCCTCAAGAGACTGCTCTTTGGTGGTACTTACCTGGTTTCACCAACCCTCTCTACAACAATATGATTCTCGTACTCAGGGACTAGAGTCCACCAGCTTGGTACACAGATACCTCCATAGAAACTTCTGCACAACAAGTGGGAATGCAACTAGGATTTTGTGGACCATCTCAAAAGAATTTGTTGAGAATAATTAAATCCACATCCTTTCCTAAATATTAGTATTTGGTATGAATTTACTTGCAAACTCATGAACTTAAGAAATGACACTTTATATTCTGTATGTATCTTAATAGTTTGCTCCAAAGCTCATATCTTATGAGAGTGGCCTAACATGGAAGCTTGGTCATCCCTCTTCTTGCCCTACCTGTGTGTCACTGGCACACTGCCAGGACAATCGGGGAAGAACGCCTCAGAGGCCGCTCTGACACTGACCACAGAGGGTACTGTTAAGATGCCATTCACTTGGTAGGTATGGTCACTCCAAGGTCAACAGCTCTTGAGACATAACAACCTAAGCTCTGGCTTCCAGAGAAGTTGGGTTGTTCTCAAGACACAATTAAATCTTGTATTTATAAAGTTCAATATGAAGGAAGTGCTCCCTCATCCCAACCTTTGCAATGCTTTATGTTCACTGATTAGCTGAGCTTCCTGCTTGCATCCCTTGTCCCTTGTCCCCAACCAACCCCTTTCACCCTCACCCATGACACAACTACTAGATTTCAGATGATGGTCACTAAAGCAGTGTAGAACGTGTAAATTTACATATCTATATATATAAAAGGCTAAGCGACCATCCAACCATCAGTCCAGTAGCTATGACGCACAATGACCAACAGAGGGTAGACACTCCGACCGGTAGCTATGACACCAGGGGGCAGATGTGCAATGCGGGAGCTGCAGAGCTGCGGTGATTGGCAGCGGCGGTTCTCTGGTGAAGCACCCTGGAACCAGAGAGGAGGGAGTCCGATTCCTGGTTGTGTTACCCGAGAACCGCCCTCTCGAAATCCAGGACCCCTTGGGGGATGTTGGAGAGCCAGTTTTGGCCTGATCCCCGAAGGCCCGGCCATGGGACCCCACCTGCCGGAGGGACTCCACTCACTCCACAGACACCCTTTGGGCCGCACCCTCCCAGGTGCTGCCGCCCGGGGAGGTACCGCGGGAGGTTGGCTCCAGGGCATGTCTAACCCATCTCGCCCAGTCCCACCCCACCAGCCACCTTCTAATTAATTTCCTTTCACTGTGTTCATCCATCCCTAACACAGTGCATTGAATCCACTCCACAGAAGTCTTCCCTTTTTCTTACAAAATAATGTCCCTCACTTCTTTCCAATTGTTCTTCAACTTTGCCTCCTTTAGATTTTCCTTTTTATCATCCTTTGGACATTTTAACTGTATTAAATCTAGCTGATTATGTCATTTTCCAAACCTTTGTACTCAACTTTCCAATTTCTTATGTTTTATACATTTTTTAAAAAATTGAGTTGGTCAATTGCATGCAGATACTCTTTTTTCATATATTTAAGCATCTTCTTATTGAATCTTAGTGACTTTATCAGAGTTATCATTCCTGAAGCAAAGAATATGCTCTCTTCTTAATATTTCTCTCTCTCTCTCTCTCTCTCTCTCTCTCTCTCTCCCCCCTCCCCTCCCCTCTCTTCTCTTTCTGTCTCTCTTCATTTTTAGGTAGCATCCCTAATACCCCTACCCTGTTCAACATTTTCTCTCTTCATACTACTGATCAGCTTCCAATATGTCAGGTATTTTTCTCACTTATTATGTCTGTTACCCACAGTCTGTTTCCCCAGTAGAGAATGGTTTCCACAGAGGTGTGTGACCTGCTCGGTATGTGACCTATCTCCACCAGCGCTGGGCCTAAGCCAGTGCTCAATAAATCCTTGTTGAATGAGTGAAGGACATGTACCATTTGCATCGACAAGTGGCAAGAAGAACATAAAACGTCATGGTTTACTTTCCTCAAATAGCTTCACAGTTTCTTAATCCGTGCTGTTTTATCTTGTGCTTCCAGATATCAACATGGCCGGGGAACCCAAGCCCTACAGACCAAAACCCGGGAACAAGAGGCCCCTCTCTGCGCTGTACAGGTGAGTCGGTGAGCACCAGGCTGCACTATGTGGCCGTGGAAATGCCCACCAAAGGTGATGCAGGTAACCATGAGGACAAATAGGAGCAGCCAGCACCTGCGTACATGGCGCGGCACTGGCCGGGTTGGACGGCGGACCTCCTGGCCTGGCGGAACCTTCCCAGACAGCTCTCTCACACCCTGCGGCGCCTCTCCTGACCCACGGACAGGTGGTGGGAAGGCCGGCCTTCGTTGATGGCCGCATGCGTGCACTGTAGGTGGCTCACACATGGCGCTTGATTTAATCTAATTTCTCAGCGATGCTGCTCTCCTCTTACACACCGAGCAGCTGACATGAAGTTTCTGAGCGGGTCCTTGGCCACCCCTCTGGGGAAGGATGGCGCCAGTGCTCACACTCACGCTTTCTGCTGCCCCCGTGCCCCGAATTGCATCCCCCTGGCCATGCAGCCTCTTCTTGACAAAGTGCATATTCCTGTCCCCCCCTCTCCCAGACCACATTACTGTCTTCCTCTTCTCGAGGGGCAGCTCCGCGTCCTTCCCTCTCCCTGACATTCTTGGGTCTGAGTCCATTAACATCTGGCCCTTCCCTCCCCAGGCATCAGCTTGTCATGCCCACACCTGTAATCTCAATGCCAGCAGACGGAGGGGATGTGTTTAGCATCTTCATTGTTCTGTGTGCACTTTTCTTGGGTGAAGTAAAATTCGGTCAATTTGGGGGGAAAACAAAAGTAAACTCTTGGAAGTTTGGTTTTTTGTAAAAACAGCCTCTTTGAAAAAAAAACCCATGTCCTGCGGTTGAGCTGCATGCCCATTCTGTGCTCTTCCATTGGTTCCTGGATGCAAGGGCTGAGTCAGCCTCTCTGGCCGCTGAATTCCCTGCTGTCAGCAGCTGTCCCGGGCGATTGAGGTCTCCTGTCGTTCTAATCAACCCGGGCCTCTCCCGACTCTTGTCTTCACTCCATCAGTGTCCCTGTCCCAGGAGCCGACAGGGCGCTGAGCAAGGCGCCTCCCGCTCCCGCCCGCTGGCGGTTGGAGAAAGGAGAACTGAGTTGTGCCTGTCACCGTGGTTACGCTGATGCAGCAGAGGGCCCTAGAAGACAGCTCGGAGCTGTGTGCTGGCCTTTGTCCTCTGACAGCCCGCGCTCCTCCTGCAGCCATGCACAGCCTCACTGCCAGGGAGGCTCAAAGCCAAACAGGCAGAGCTCAGCACTGCCGGGTCCTGCCTGCGCCTGCTGCCCCAGGCTCTCCAGTGAGCGGCCAGCATAGAGCCGAGAAGATATATTGGAAGAGTATCTTGATTGATCTTATTATTTTGTGTGAATTTATTGCATTTTAACTGAAATTTTTAATATAAAAATGGAAAGCTAAACGGCTTAACAGAAATGTTGACACTTGGTCTAGGCAGTGTTATGTGAAAGGCCGGCGAAGGCCTCCTGTGCACAGCTGAGAATGCACCTCATTTCCTGGTGGGCCACTGATGGGGACGTCGGAAAAGCCAGCGTCTCGGTTATTAGGAAGCAGCCAGTGGCCGGCTTGCTCATCAGAGTTACGCTGCCCATGCAGGGACGTTCGCTTTCCTGCCTCTGGTTCCTGGAGTGGTTCCATTTTCTTAGAGAATAGATGCTTATGAGAAGAAACACGTGTGTTTGTAGCCGTCATTCCTCTATTACTCAGTTACGTTAAACTGTGAATTCAAAAGAATTAGAAGCAGAAGTCATTTCCGTCTGACATATTGTGCACAGACCACAGTAATGGGGAAGTGCATTTTTACTCGATTTCCATCTGTTTACACAAATGAAGGCTGGGCTGAGCTGACACTGCCAACTGGTCACCAAGGGAACAGAGTGCCGCTGAGAAAGCCCTGTGCGCTCTGCACCCTCCCACGAGCTGGAGCATCAGGGTCCTCCCTTCTTCCGTGGGGCGGGCTGTTTGCATGCGCCTCCCTTCACCGCCCAGCTCCCGGTGGGTTGCTGCTATGCGCCTGGCTTCATAGATGGGAAAGTAAGCTTCTGAGACAACAAAGGGTTTGCCTGGAGTCAGGTCACAAGATCAGAAACTGAGCTCTGGTTTGCAGCCTTGAAGTCTGGTGATCTTGCTGGGAGCTTACCCTATCTCCCACCTGCTACCATCGAAACAGCACAGGTTAGGAAACGCAGATTCCTGCCACCCAAAGCCATAGTCCATCCTATTTCTCTCCATGTACACATGCGAACATGCGTTACCACCTATTCATGTGGCTTCAAGCTCTTCTAACATATAGTTGTGTAATTAAAGCTGATTTTTCTTAATTTTTATTGATTGATTTTAGTGAGAGAGGAGGAGGAGATGGGAGAGAGAGAGAGAGAGAGAGAGAGAGAGAGAGAGAGAAATATCAATTTGTTGTTCCACTTATTTATGCATTCATTTGTTGCTTCTTCTATGTGCCCAGACCAGGGATCAAACCCATAGCCTTGGCCTATCAGGACGACCCTCTGACCACTGAGCTACCCGGCCATGGCTATGCTTTTCCTGACAGGGTGACACTGAATAATCGAGGTGGAAGTACCCCGTGGTGTCGGGAATGTGAACGTGGTAGCAGCTCGCACAGGGGTGCTTTCTGCTTTCCTGTTCTTTGCACCTCTGGGTCTGTTTCCTTACCTGTCAAATGAAAGGACTGGAATGACTTCATTTGTTCATTCATTCATTCGTACAAGACATTTATTGTGTATTTACTCTAGTGTGGGCACTGTGATAGCTGATCTTCTTGGCAAATGACAGAGGAAAATGGCAAGGCTGCAGGGCATGGAGAGGACAATGAAGTAAAAGTAATCATTTTACGGTTATGGGTAACCTCGGTTTACCCTCATGCCCTAAACTGCTATGTCTCTGTATCCATTTGCTCAGATGGAAAAGGTCTGCTGTCAGATTCTCCTCTCCACTTATGTCCATTTCCTCTCCATCGTCACCACAAAGCAGTACCTACATGGAATATCCAACCAGGCATCATTTGTTCCTTCTAATGACTGCGTTTTGATTTAGCCAGACAGGCTACACTGATCATTCATCATGTGCTAAATTAACATGGCCTACAGAGAAGACACAAACACTTTAAAACATAGTGTAGCTGCAAAATAGTTCCTGTTTTGTACATGCGTTAGGTGTACATGTAAGTAAGGAACATGGATGAACATAAATGCGTACAGATATGTAAGACAGGAAATGAGAGCAGTGCTGCCAATGGGGAAGAGGCGCAAAGTCTGGGTGCTGCTGCTGCACGAGCAGATGGTCACTCGGCAGACAAAGGGCAGCACGCCAGGCACAGACTCCGCCCGGCACAGAGGTCAGAAGAGCATGGCATGCTGGGAGCAGGATCAGCCACTGGTGAAGCCACAGAACTGGACCGGCTGGTGGCCAGGCTGTCCAGACCCCTATAGGTCTGCTCATCAGATGAAGGCGGTCCGGATTCTGTTCTCCGAGCTCATGGGGAACAGTGGCTCAGGCACAGGGTTGGAGGAAGGGAGCAAAAGTAATGATTTCCGTCCTGGACATGAATTCATAACGACAGACAATTCACGAAAAATAGCACTTGTAATAAAAAGGTCTCTCATTCGAGGCTATTTGTACAGGAAAGGTCATGAGTCACTTGTGCACATTCCATAAATATTGGAATCTGTATAATGGTGAAAAGCAAATGCTCTCTGAGGAAAATGTTGTAGCTTTGGATAACTTGCAGCTCCAGCATTCTGTGTCCATCACTATAGTGTTCAAAATAATGATTCTCCCGCAGGAAGTGAGTTTCCCCACAAACACAGTCCCAATTGGTACTAAATCATTTCCCAATGGGAAGAGGAGTGTGATGGTTTCCCCTCTGCTTGGAGGGAAACAGAACTTTCCTCTGAAGTGAGCAAGGCGGACAGTGAATCAGAGCTGATTGCTGACAGTGTATCAGAGCTGATTGCTGACTGACAGTGTATCAGAGCTGATTGCTGACAGTCAATGTATCAGAGCTGATTGCTGACTGACAGTGTATCAGAGCTGGATGCTGACAGACAGTGTATCAGAGCTGATTGCTGACAGTCAGTGTATCAGAGCTGATTGCTGACAGTCAGTGTATCAGAGCTGATTGCTGACTGACAGTGTATCAGAGCTGATTGCTGACTGACAGTGTATCAGAGCTGATTGCTGACTGACAGTGTATCAGAGCTGATTGCTGACTGACAGTGTATCAGAGCTGATTGCTGACTGTCAGTGTATCAGAGCTGATTGCTGACTGACAGTGTATCAGAGCTGCTTGCTGATGAACACTGTATCAGAGCTGATTGCTGACAGTCAGTGTATCAGAGCTGATTGCTGGAGAACAGTGTATCAGAGCTGATTGCTGACTGAAGTGTATCAGAGCTGATTGCTGACTGACAGTGTATCAGAGCTGATTGCTGACTGACAGTGTATCAGAGCTGGTTGCTGACTGACAGTGTATCAGAGCTGATTGCTGACTGACAGTGTATCAGAGCTGCTTGCTGATGAACACTGTATCAGAGCTGATTGCTGACTGAAGTGTATCAGAGCTGATTGCTGACTGAAGTGTATCAGTGCTGATTGCTGACTGACAGTGCATCAGAGCTGATTGCTGACTGTGTATTGAGCTGGTTCCCAAATGTGGTCTATGGCGTTCTACAGTGCTTCCCATAGCAACCTTTCCACCCCACATAGGCGACTATGGTAATCAAGGTATTCACTGTGAGTAACTTCAAGACTCCTTAAGATTGTTGCAGGATAAGCTGTAGCATCATCATTTTAAGGTCACCACCCTTGGTGTGTTAGCCTTGAATGTGGTTTATGTCAGAAGAACTGCAGTGACCCAAAAGCCTTCCGAACATGGGCCAAGCAATGGGGCTGTGCAAGGTCCTGGTGATTTGACACCTGATCCTGAGTCCTATTGTCAGCCTTCCTGGTACTCTGTCACTTCATGGGAAAGGAGACCCTCAGGGGGCCCGAAATGTCCCCTGGAACCTTGAATAGAAA